ATACATACATACATACACACATAATACGTATATGCACGCACACACACACACACACATATATATATATATATACATACATACATATACATATACATATATATATATATAACATATACATTGCCCTTTTTATTGTTCATACTGGCCTTACTGCCTTGTGGCTCTGTCCCTGATACACAGTAATTAGACTGCTAAACGCCACGCGCAGGAGCCTGAGCCGCTAGCGACAGGATTTCTGGAAAGCCTGCTAAAGTACAGGGTAACGCCTAATTTGGGCTGAGATGCGAATTCCGAATAGCTTGCACTTTCCAAACCCACCACAGCAGCTGGTCAACTTGACGGGTCATGTCTGGAGTGAGATCCTAGCAGCTCTTCGCTCGCGGTTCTTTCCTCATCCGAACTCTTCGCAGATCTCCGATGCACGGACGAAAGCCTCAGAACTGCTTTTGGAGACGATGCAGACTATGCGTGGACCTGAGCATGACAATGACTTTCGAAGAACAGTCTGGGTTCGACCCATACCCATAGCAGTTCCTTTCTGGGGTTACCTTATAGGATTCTATATATGAACCCGAAAAGGGAACTACTTGAGGGCCTATGGGTAGATACGGCAAGACGAAAGAGCCCAGTCCGAGGTTGCGATTGCAAGTGCCTCAACTGACATCGCTGCGTCCCGACAGGAGACACTCCGAGCATAGAGTAGACGTGTAGTAGTATACTTATACAGTTTGGTATTATATAATAGGGCACCCCACTTGAGCACGGAGATGTTTGAAGGTCATTCCTACGACGCACATCGTCCCCATGATCAACGCCATCTTTGCAACAACTACTATGTTCGAACCCCGAAGCGTATGGGATCCCATCTTCCTCTGCTTTAGAGCTTTCGCTGTCTCACAGCCATGGCGGAAATCGCAGCCTCCCAAGCGCTGATAGCGCAAAGGCGCCTGAAGCCCTCCGGTAGACCACAACCCGAGGGTTTCAGGGTTCCTTAGGGTTCGTTAGGGTCTTGTGTGTCGAGTTTTAGGGTTGAGGCTTGAGGGGTTGTTACGGTTTTCTCTTGAGGACTGTACGGTTCAAAGAATCGTCTAATTACATTGTCAGATACAGAGAGGAGCGCGTGCCGTCCCCCGCACTCTGAGATCAGTCGACGGTCTTTGAGCTTGGCATATTTGCACGCAGGCAGAGTCTACATTCCAAACCCTGCGCCCTCAACCCCAAACACATGGCCCATGACCCCTACGTCTCGAATCTCAGCCACGAAGTAGCTCAGGTTCCGCTTCATGATGCACGATGCCTGGGAGAAGCTTGCAACCACAGACTGACAGCTGAGGGTTTGGAACTACGTAAACAATCCTTTAGGGTTTAGGGTTTAGGGTTTAGGATCTCAAGCTAAACATGCTGGTGGCAATACCTAATCAAATCAAATGGGGCTGTTGCTATAAGTGTATATCTGTGCTGAGACCAGCATCATACGTACTTCGACTCGCTTGTGCATGTCCAAGGCTTGCAGGCTTTAGACGGCTTCGGGATCCAGTCTGCAAGTTGGCTTCGAGGGTTATCGATGGAACCTAACCTATAACCACTACTCGGTTCACATTGTGGCAATTCTACCTAAACCCTAAACCCTAAACCCTAAACCCTAAACTAAGGGCCTTTAGGCATTGAAGGTAGCAGCTTTGCAGGGGACATGTTTTTGGCTTCGATGGGCACGGAAGCCAAGGAATGCTCTCTTCGTGCACTGGCCTGTGCCGCCCGAAGTCGTGGCGAATTTGCTGCCGAGGCCAAAGTTAAGCAAACGCCACAAGACTGGTTTGTTTGGGGTGGGGGGGTGGGGGTGTTGGGGGGGGGGGGGGGNNGGGGTGGTAAGCAGATGTTCGGATTCAGGGGTCTCTTCACAAAGTCGTGACCCTCAACTCTGCAACCCTTGCCGTGAAGGTGGCTGAGTGGTGCGGAAGGCACTTCCATGGGCTCGGGCCCCCCAAACCCCTCATCAGAGTATGATTGTGTGGGTTGGAGGTTTCCCTGAACCCTACCTATAGTCTCCA